CGATGGTACTATTTTATAAATAAATATCAGTCATGTACTGAACATAATTTTGAACTGAAAGCCAATTTATTTCTTTTAACATAGTTGCAATACTCATCTTTCTGTCCTTTATGTCCCTTATTAGAATATAAATAGGCAAAATAAGGAGCCCAAATATTTTACATAAGCAGGCTTAAGACGTAAAAGTGCCAATTATTATTGGAAAAATTGCTCGAATAAGTTTTTAAACCCTAATCAAAAGGCGATATAGAATGGTTTTAAAAATCAAGGCTTGTGAAAATTATCACATGGATAAACCTAAGTAATGCCAACGTTTCATAAAACAAAAAATTCAACGTCCTAATACTACTATAGGCTTTCGGTCTGTCGTTCCAAGTTAAATCATTTCTCGTTTTTGTTACGCTACGAGTTTACCCTTGTGGGCCTCAGTCTCGATAAGGTGGCAACCACCATTGTAGCGTCTCTCGAATTTTCTTTTCAGTGTTTGATTGTGTATATTTTTAGATACACTGGCCCAAAATAGTATATTATTAAACGAGCAATTTATGGTAGCCATTATTCACGCAGGGTGACGTTTGCGTCCCGAGCCGTAGGCGAGTCTAATACTATACTTTGTACCATTATACCATTATGGTTTCTTTATTAAATAAAAGTTAAGTGTAGAATGGAAAGTTTTTATTAAACATTGGTAACTAACTGTTGTTTTTTCAACTTTTCAATTTTCCAATTTTTCGAATGTCTGATTTTTTGATTTTCCGATTTTTCAATTTTTCGGTTTTTTGATTTTTTGACTTTTCAATTTTCCAATTTTTCGAATATCTGATTTTTCGATCTAGAAAATATCGTTATGAAAAGTATCGCCCATCTTTAGTGATCTACCGGAAATTGCCAGAATTAGAAAAGAGTGAATTATCATAATTCACTCTAGTGATATATGGGTACCATATGCTTTTAGTTAGGAGGTAGAATATTGATTTATTATTAAGTGGTCGTGGACAAATTAGTTTCCGATTGAAGTAACTTTTTAATCTTTTTTTTGGTATGTGGATATCCCTTATAGAGATTGAGTACAGGTTCTCCCTTTTCCAATAGTTTGGGACTCCCGGATCATTAGTGCAAGTCAGGCTTATCATTTACCCACTAAACGCACCCTTGAGCAGGTAATATCTTTTACTTGTCCATTGGGACTACTTTATTAATTTTTTTGAGTATCTATCGACCTCGTATGGTTGATTCTCCGGTCTCAAGTGCATTAACACGGCCAGTTGGCGAACCTAAAGATAAATCCAGCGGTGTTTATTATTTTTGCTCACAGACTATTTTACTACAAACATTTTTGTCCACGACTGTTCTATAAAAAATTCATTAAACTTGTAATTCCTTAAGAATAATAATACCTATTATTCACTAGTGAATAATGATCCATTAGTCACGGTATGACGTCACGACAGCACACGTATGTATAAACTGATATAAAAATATTATTAATAGGTAATCGAAAAATCGAAAAAAAAAAAATCGAAAAAAATCGAAAAATCGAAAAATCGAAAAAATCGAAAAATCGAAAAATCGAAAAAATCGAAAAATCCAAAAATCGAAAAAAAAAAAAATGAAAAATTGAAAAAAAAATCAAAAAATCGAAAAGATGAAACTGCATTGTGTTTCTTATTAATGCCTTAATAGATTATGGTAAGTTGTAGAGAATACATGTGCCAAATTTTAATAACATAATAGCGGTTGGTAAGTTATGAAACAAGAAAGAAATTGGCAAAGTTAATAAAACTACCTCTATCTCAGTTATAAATGGTGAAAGAACCATTAAGTAAGATTATTTGGAATCATATCAGAAGCATAAAAAACTAAGTATTAAAAAAAGAGTGAAACTTCTTAGATTAATTCACTCTAAAATAAAAAAGAAATAAAATCCGCGTACATCAATATTTATCGCACAGCTACTTAAATATACTATTAAGGTTATAACTTTAAACGGAAGGGCACCGACGATGCACGAACGACGATCGTTTGCAGTCGTTTTTATGAATTAGCTCATCATATTTTTTATGTATTAACTTTGATTTATTTAAATTTATATAAATCTATTTAAATTTATTTAAATTTATTCAAATTTATTTAAATTTATTTAAATTTATTTAAATTTATTTAAATTTATTTAAATTTATTTAAATTTATTTAAATTTATTTAAATTTATTTAAATTTATTTAAATTTATTTAAATTTATTTAAATTTATTTAAATTTATTTAAATTTATTTAAATTTATTTAAATAAATTTATTTAAATTTATTTAAATTTATTTAAATTTTATTTAAATTAATTTAAATTAATTTAAATTAATTTAAATTTATTTAAATTAATTTAAATTTATTTAAATTAATTTAAATTTATTTAAATTTATTTAAATTTATTTAAATTTATTTAAATTTATTTAAATTTATTTAAATTTATTTAAATTTATTTAAATTTATTTAAATTTATTTAAATTTATTTAAATTTATTTAAATTTATTTAAATTTATTTAAATTTATTTAAATTTATTTAAATTTATTTAAATTTATTTAAATTTATTTAAATTTATTTAAATTTATTTAAATTTATTTAAATTTATTTAAATTTAAATTTATTTAAATTTATTTAAAATTATTTAAATTTATTTAAATTTATTTAAATTTATTTAAATTTATTTAAATTTATTTAAATTTATATAAATTTATTTAAATTTATGTAAATTTATTTAAATTTATGTAAATTTATTTAAATTTATTTAAATCCATTTAAATTTATTTAAATTTATTTAAATTTATTTAAATTTATTTAAATTTATTTAAATTTATTTAAATTTATTTAAATTTATTTAAATTTATTTAAATTTATTTAAATTTATTTAAATTTATTTAAATTTATTTAAATTTATTTAAATTTATTTAAATTTATTTAAATTTATTTAAATTTATTTAAATTTATTTAAATTTATTTAAATTTATTTAAATTTATTTAAATTTAATTAAATTTATTTAAATTTATTTTAATTTATTATAAATATTTAAATTTATAAATTTATTTAAATATATAAATTTATTTTATTTTTTATTTATTTTAATATATTTTAATTTATTTTAATTTATTTTATTTTAATTTATTTTAATTTGTTTTAATTTATTTTAATTTGTTTTAATTTATTTTAATTTATTTTAATTTATTTTAATTTATTTTAATTTATTTTAATTTATTTTAATTTATTTTAATTTATTTTAATTTATTTTAATTTATTTTAATTTATTTTAATTTATTTTAATTTATTTTAATTTATTTTAATTTATTTTAATTTATTTTAATTTATTTTAATTTATTTTAATTTATTTTAATTTATTTTAATTTATTTTAATTTATTTTAATTTATTTTAATTTATTTTAATTTATTTTAATTTATTTTAATTTATTTTAATTTATTTTAATTTATTTTAATTTATTTTAATTTATTTTAATTTATTTTAATTTATTTTAATTTATTTTAATTTTAATTTATTTTAATTTTAATTTATTTTAATTTTAATTTATTTTAATTTTAATTTATTTTAATTTTAATTTATTTTAATTTTAATTTATTTTAATTTTATTATTTTAATTTTAATTTATTTTAATTTTAATTTATTTTAATTTTAATTTATTTTAATTTATTTTAATTTATTTTAATTTATTTTAATTTATTTTAATTTATTTTAATTTATTTTAATTTATTTTAATTTATTTTAATTTATTTTAATTTATTTTAATTTATTTTAATTTATTTTAATTTATTTTAATTTATTTTAATTTATTTTAATTTATTTTAAATTATTTTAATTTAATTTATTTTAATTTAATTTCATTTGATTTATTTTAATATAAATTACAGTCATCGTCCACTCACCCATTGTTGATACACCTTGTAATAATATAGCTGTATGTATATTTATTAGTCACAGAGAGTAAATGCATTTAAAAAACTTATTGGCTCTATGCGAAACCCAACAAAAAATTTTGGCAGTTGATGTGTTAACATAAAATAGATCTTAAAATGAAAATCCAAATATATCTAAAATAAATTTTTTGGATGTCACATAACCTAGTGTGTAAAGTTATAATATACTCTATGGTGGATGTCAGATAGTCGGGTGAGTAAGTTTTAATATACTGAATGTTGGATGTCAGACAGTCGAGTGAGTAAATTCTAATATACTTAATGGTGGATGTTAGACAGTCGGGGGACTGAAATATTTAATATACAAAATATACAAAACCAACTGACGCGAGCGCCACCTTCACATCTATACACTGGAACTAAATTTATACACAAAATTGAAAATTAGGCATTATGACATCCAGCTGAAATTTGTTTGGCGCCCTTTTAAACCTTTTCTAAGATGTTTGAACCCCAAAAACGTTGTGACATCCGAATTTGGATGTCACATCGCAAACGGATGTCATAAAGATACCAACATTTTTGCGACATGATGTCACAACGTCGGCAGGACGAATCTATATATATATATATATATATATATATATATATATATATATATATATATATATATATATATATATATATATATATGTGATATAGAACTTCTTAAAAATAATAGGTACACCATATTTTTGTTTTATTCATTTTCCTAAAGAATCGTTATGATCCCCTTTATGATCATTATTGGCCTTGTCAGATATTTACAAATCTGGCTCATCTACTACAAATATGATTAAAGAAACATTAAGTTTATCTATAAAAATATTAAATTAAATTCACATTATTCACTTTTTTCTTTTTGGTTTGTCATCGGCTTCAACTGCTAAGGTTATTTCGCCTCGTGTTATGTGTAGGCTTTGTTACTGTTTCCCAGCGCCACTTTAGGAACAGCGCTGTTAATTAGGACCCAACAGTGAATGGCCGAGTGGGGAATCCTACCAAGGCATCAGAATTAATTTTAAATAATTAAATTAAAAAATCCCGGCCAACGGTATTTTGAATATCCTATGCACTGCATCAATAGTTTTAACGCCCTCCATTTTTTAAATACCAGTTAAATACATTCAAAAAATATTTAAACACTTATTTTTAATATCCTTACTTACTGTATTAACAGTTTTAAAGAACCCCTTCATTTTTGTATCTGACAATTAGGGAAACACGTAAAAATATTGCTTATTATTACATATTTTTAAAATTTCGTGCATATATTTACATCATTCTTATAACAATTTAGCGAGCATGTGCATTATGTGGTGCTACCAGTGGCATTTAGCATCTCGTCTAATAAATACCACTTACTTTGAATTTGGTGCAATTTTTATGATTTTTAAATTATAAATTCTTGTTTTCTGATTACCAGGTACTTTGGTATAGTTTTTATTAAAAAATCTTATATATTACAAAGTTTATTATATCATTAATCGCCCTCTCCCTCCCCATCTATCATATCAACCTCATTCAGACTCATCTGAAGACTTCTAGCCCAAACAGGTGGCAATGTTGCAATGGTTAAATAACCTGTGTGTCCAGGTAAACTTGGTGGAGGTATGGCTACAACAGTTTTCAAAAATTCTCTATCTTTTTTCTCCCCCTCACTACCATCTTTCTCAGATTTAAGAAAATCCATGTTAATAACTGGTATATTCCTCTGTTGCACACTAAGTTGAGTCTGCAAAACTTCCATAGTTTGGATCTCTTGAAAACCTAACTTTAACAAAACTAGACAACTTTTTTGCACTTGTTCTATACAAGGTGAAAAAGAACACAGCCTCCCGCCTGAAGATTTTAAAGACTTGATGGCATGTGGAATAGCTAACCAAGGATGAGGCAAATCTAAGAAAACTGCATCAGCTACACCATCCAATTCTTCACTAAAACCTTTCTCACAAACATCTCGATGCCTCACAGTAACATAATTAGAAAAACCGTGATTTCTAAATTCTTCTGTAGCCATTTTGGACCTGCCTTCATGAAATTCAAACGTATGCAAATGTCCATGTGGTTTAACAGCTCTTATTAAGGCATGCGAAAGCGATCCGCTGCCTGTACCACTCTCTATGACTATGCTGCCAGGAGAAAGTTCCAACTGAAGAATGATCATACTGATATCTGGAGTATATATTATCTGAGTCCTATGGGGTAAAGTAATTGTCCATAACTCTGGAGTTGGTTGTAAAACGTATCCCCAACCTTTGCTTAGAGATATTTTGGTTCCAAAAGATTTGCCTACGAGTTCGCCGCATTTTAGAGCTCCATAAGGAGTTTGAAAAACGTTGACTACTTCATTGCCTTTTTTGTTGATTATTTTGGACTGAGCTTTAACTGAATATATTTGTGTTATGGTCAGGTACAAAATAACTGTATCGCCTTCTTCAATTTTGTTCTTGTATCCATTAAAACTCATTTCTCTTTAAATAATTTAAATTTTTAATGGTTGATTAGTTAGGTTAGGAAATAAAACAGAAAGAAAAGAACTGTTTACTTCTTCCTGTTTTCCAATTTTTGAAGTTGCCTATTCTTAGATAACAAATCACTACAATTTGTAAAACGGCCTCTATTAAGGCCCGTATTTATATTTATAAATAAACAGAACTTTACGTGAGTCGGACTTGGGTAAGTCGGACTTGGGTAAGTCGTCCTTGAACGAAAATCGAAGTTCGGTTATATTCGCTCCGTGCGAAGTCATGGAAAGGGAAGCAAAAGCGATACTAGCGCTAGCTGCGGATAATTCGTGCATTTTAGGGGGATATTTTGTAATTTTGGCATATCAAATACATGTATACATTTTACTTTTTTTCAAAAAAGTATGTAAAAACAACACAATAAGCAACCGGAGTTGCTGTGTTGAAAATTGTACAAATACTAACAAAAAAAAACAGTGAAACTTATATAACAAATTTCACTAACAAAGTGGAAATTAAAGGCATTTCTTTATAAGCTTACTACAACATACTTGGTTACAGTATTGTGGTTACTGTGGTGACATTACGCATACCATGGTTTCCCTATTATTGAATGTCATATGTCAAATTTAATTTAAGTTTGGGGATTTCTAAACGGAATTTGAATCTTAGAAATGTTAGGATGTTTTGATTTTGTTATTTTTTATTATAGTATGTTCTAGTAAGCTTATAAATAAATGCCTCGTTAGATGTAGCTACATATGCTTTGGTAACATGTAACCAAAGCAGAGTAACCAAACGTTATAAAGAAATGCTCTGGTTACAGAAGTATGTTCTGGTAAGCTTATAAAGAAATGCCTTAAATCAAAGAAATAAATGGATAGGTGTACAATAAGAAGAAAAATTACCTTTATTTTTGTGATAATAACAGTAATGCTGGAAATAGTAGACATCAGAAACTAGAAAGTTTTTAAATAAACAATAAATTATCATTTTACGATGTTCTTTAACATCCCTTTATTCTTAAATGTTCATTCAGCAAGGACTAGATTTCAAGATTTCTGACGTTGATTATAATATTTGGCTGGTATGCAATTTTGTGACTTACTGATTGGAAGCCAGTTTTAATCATTCATTCTATGTTTTCTTTAGAACAAAAATTAAAATATAAGTAGCGATCCTTTTTATACATTTTAACTTCACGTTATTATAAATGGTTTCTTCAATGACAACTTATTAGACTTAGGCAACTTCTCATACATTTTCCAGTAAATACTGTTGCCTGCCTATATTTTATTATTGATTTTTAATGATTATACATAATTTTCTTCAATTTAATCGTGAAAAATATATAATAATAATAATAAATTAATGTTTTAATTGTTTTATAAATCCATATACTTTTATTAAAACTAACATATATACTTTTTATTTACGAATTCTATTAAAAATTGTATTTGTCAGTATAGGCAGAAATACTCCTTTAATACCAAAACAAATTGGCGCTGCTGTCGCGCACGGAGCGAATAAGTAAATACAGGAATTTATCAATTTCATTTTTATATGCAGAGCTGTTACCAAATGATCATTTGATGATTTTTATGGAAAAGTCTGTGAAGGGTTTTCCCAGACTATTTTTTATGTCTCATTGTTAGGTGACAAGAATATATTTATTACCTTACCAATACTGGACACTCCCAGACTTAATTTTATTGACTTTATATGTCAGTTAAACCCCAGTATATATACCAATCAGTATTGGCACTCTGAGGCGGCACGTTTGATCTTTAAAAGTAGAAATTTTAGTTGACACTTGACGTTTTCGGGATATGAAAAGTTTTCTTTACACGGACTTGGTATACCTGGTTAGTTGAATTTTTGTTCTGCTGCTTTTCAAATTTGTGTGTATGAGCGAGATGTGAGATACCTTTATAGACAACGGTTGAACAACTTAATTACTTTGAAGAAGAAATAGATTAGATATCAGGGCAGTCTTCGCAAATGTGAGAAGGCAGAACCGTTTTAAAAATTTTTTATATATGTGAAATATTATTTTTTAGTGAAAAGTTTAATTACTTTTAGTTCAAAATATAACGTTAGCTTGTCAAGGAAAATATATAACACACAAGGTTAGAGTAACAAAATAAAGGTTTTGCTTTATTTCTTAAGAATTACTCTAATCTAAAACTTTTCTATGTTGTAGAAATTTATTCTATACGTTATTTAGGTACTTACTGCAAAATCTATGTAGTTTTAAATATAAAAAATTATAATGGAGACATATTTAGTGTAGTTTTTTTTACAAATATATCAGTGTTGCCGATTTGCGTATAATTATACGATTTTCGTATATTCTGACTTGCCAGCGTATCTTTTTCTAACTCTTTGAAATTCCGTATAATTTTCGTACATTCTGGGAAAAACTATGGATCTTTTTGGATTTCCATTTATTTTAGAAATAAGTTTAAACACTTCTGAGTTCATTTGGACAAGTTAGTGTGTCTTCTGCTCTACTTTAATAAACAGTGACTGACTGGTAGCTGGCTGCTTATTTTAGAGAATGACACACTCCATGTCATTGACCAAAGAAAACAGGTCCGGAGTCCTTTGCTTTGGAACTTTTGGCAATCTGTCTGAATGAATCTGCATTGCTATATTTATTCTGTCGGCAGTGTCCCATCTCACAAACCTAAAGTCGAACCTGGCAGCAACACAAATTTGATATCCTCAAATGCAAAGATGTGGCTACAAAGCTAAATCTACAAAGGCGTATAAAAAGTGTATCTTTTGTACCCAGCCACCGTATAATTTTAAGTTTGGGTATTGGCAACACTGAAATATATACTCAGTGACTTGTTTTAGTGAATGAGTTAAAGTCAGGGCTGGTATATCTAAGGGGGTCGCGACATAGGAGTCCATTTTGGACGCCATTTTTTTCGAAATAGTAGTCACCATTGATCTGGCAACGTGGCAACTTGTAGTCGCCAGGTTTACCAATATAAGAAAAAAAATCAATGTCATTTCTTAAATGCCTATATTTTTAGGATAAAATATTTCAAATTAATAAATTATTAGTCTCAGATGTACATAAAATACGTCGGGAAAAGTAGATCACTTTCATTTTTGTGCTGTTTTAGTTTTGTTTATTTTAAAAGGTACTTAAAGAGATGAAGACAATTTTCTTATAGATGATGCATAACAAATTATTGCTCCCTTTTTTAGAGCTCCAGTCCCTTAAGTCTATTTATTTTAGGTCTTTTTAAATTATTCACTTCATTTGTATGTTTTTAGTTAATTTAAATAATTTTGTGTAATATCTTGCGATTTGTTTTCTATACATTTTAGCATGTATTTGTTGTCTACATCTTACAAAGGATGGATTTGAAATACCTTTACAACAGAGGTACTTTCCTAAAACTGGCCGAAATTTGAAACTGAATACAGTTCTTAGAGAAAATCTCCAGTAAAAAATGTCTGCATGCAGAATAACAGTAGCATAGATTAACAAAGCTGACAAAAGAGTTGGACAAACCTTTGTCTAGCTTTCTTAATATTTCAGGACAATAGTGTTAACAGCAGACTACAACAAAAACATCCAGAGTTTAGTAATCAAGCAAAATATTCCGGTATCTATATTTTTACTCAAAACTTTTGTGCTTCTACTCCAATACTAACCATATAGAAGCATATGCATTTTATAGTATTTTCAAGATTCGGATCAAATGTACCCACAATTTATAAAGATTATTAAACTAAAATAAAACATTTCAAATAACACCTGCTTATATGTTTTTATTAAATACATAAATTAGTCTCAACCACACATTTTTTTTGTTTTTACTTCTAGTGTAAAAGTGACTACTAATTGAGTCTTTCAAGTTTATTATTTATACAGACCAGCTACTACAAAATATTTTATTGATGATAACTAATTTCTCTTTAATAATGGTTTTGCATTTATTAACATTTTACAGCACTTTGTTTATATGAAACCTCTATTTAACTCTTAATTAAATCAAGTAATTACATTTTCATATCCAACTTATGTATTCTTATTAGAACTTGGTCACTTTTTTTTTTACTTTGAATCTTTTGACTGTGGTACCTAACAGTCCATTCACCAAACCACAAAGTCACTTAAAAATGTTGAAAGAGAATGTCATGAAGGTAAAATTTCTTCTTCTATCATGTTTTTCATGCAATTTTACGTTGTAAACGTTTTGTCCAACACCTTTTTTACAATTTATCCCAAGCAACACTATGAAAGATTTAAATCCTGGATTTACAGCATTCAGTTTTGAGATGAGTGCAATCACAATGTAGTTTAAGAGATAAATTTCACATGAACACTTATTTACCACAGCACAAACGCATGTACTTATTCATGTAACATTAAAATAAAGTGGAAACAAATTGCATAATTTGGTATATAAAAAAGTACAAAATGTTTTAATTCGACATTGGACTACGAGGAAAACAGTGGTTCATTCCACTTGTACCATATTGACATTATTATGCACGATGCTCGTTCAAACGAACGTCAGAAAAGTGTTGCCAACTTAAGCTGACTACTATTTCCCCCCTAGCCTCAGTCACCCCCTCATCCATTTACTGGGTCTATGTCGCGACCCCCTTAGATATACCAGCCCTGAGTTAAAGTATGGCAGACTAAAATCGTTACTTTTTATTATAAATTTATTTAAAAATGGGAACTATATATATATGTATATGGTTTGCGTAGTTTTTACACTTGTAATAAAAATATCAAAGTTATGTTTATTTGCCATTTACTACACAGAGCAAATTCATAGACACTATACAAATCACTATTTGACATTCTTATTAAACTCATTAATTTAAAATTAACTTTAAACTGAGTGACTACACACAATTGTTTGAAAGCAGCCATAAGGTATAATTTATTTATTGGATACTATAAAAAATTAATAGTAGTTACATGTAGAGTTAAGTAACAAGAACTTTATAAACAAAACAAACCTTTATATCTAGTGAACTTAATTTAGTACAGTCCTCAACTTTCTTAGGCTAACATTAAAGATATCTATTTGGACCTCGCTAAAAAACTCATTGGTAACAGCCATTATCTTGTTAAAAGGAAATATACTACTTGGATCTAAACTAAATAATTTTTTGTTACTTGGGAATCTTAGATTAATATTTGCCCCATTAAAATTTATATAGTCAATCAAATCACAATCTTTGTACT